CACACACACACACACACACACACACACACACACACACACACACACACAAGTATGTATTCCTGCATTTATGACCCTCTGTGAGTCTCGAATGCTGCCATCATGTGCATGTGTGTTTGCACTTTGCGTGTATGTGTGTGTGTAAGGTCCTGCTATATTACAGCTGGCTGATGTAAAAGTGAAGCAATGAGATCACTCATAAGGAGAGGCGGGGTGCTATAAAAGCTCAAATGAAGCATTGATAATGCGCAGAAACTGGACAGGTGAAGCAGACGATGTCACTCWGTGAATTTAGGGATTTTCTGAAGAAACAACTCTTGAAAAGTCTTTAAGGAGAACTTCTCAAAAGCTGTCGTGGAGATAAATAGATCCAAACTGAGCGGAGTCTCAAAAACAAATCAGTTTTTGATACTTTTTAAAGTTCACAAACAACTTTTTTAACTGCAGGAGTTGCTGCTGCCAGAGGCTGTTGAAGCATCAGTTTTGAAAATGTGTTCAGGAGGCTTTGCGAAATGTCTGGGCATTACCCTGCTGCCTCTGTCGATTCTGTGCGTGCTGTGCAACATCCTGCTCTTCTTCCCTGGAGGACACGTTGTGGAAAGTGATCAGATCACAAAACAGGTCTGGTTCTTTGGGGGCATTCTGGGATCAGGAGTGTTGGTAAGTTTTGGCRAACATGACCGTAAATCTTACTGATGAGCATAATTTAAAAAATATATCTAACATGAAGGACTTTCATTTGCTGTGGTTTATGATAGTCAAGAATGATGCTTTTGTTTAACTATGGAAATGAATRAAACTTTGTATTTGAGACATGTAAAAAACTTACATTGTGATCAACACCATTCAATCACATAAATTAACCCATTTTTATCTAATATGTGTAGTTTTATTAACCATGTTTTAAAAAATATTGTGACAGCATTTGCAAGGAAAAAAAGACAATTCTGCAAAAAAACAATTGCTCAGCGATGCTGCATGKTTCTGTGACTGTAGCTAATGTTTCCACCAGTTGCTCAGTTTTTCCATGTGTTTGTGAACTCGGGGTGTGTTTGGGTGGCAGATGATCTTCCCAGCTCTGGTCTTCCTGGGCCTGAAGAACAACGATTGCTGCGGCTGCTGTGGAAATGAAAGCTGTGGGCGGAGGTTTGCGGTGAGGAGATATTAACATTCCCAATGCTTCACATTGATACAGTTACAAAAGTTGCTTTTGAGTTGAATTTAGGATCAAAAAATCCACAGAAAATATTATGTTCTTGGACGTTTTGAACACTCAAGTTGATCTGACAGTTGATTGTGATGATTTTATGATGATATGATTAGTTCTGAGGCTTCAACAGGGATTTCTTTTAGGATGTTGACCATTAAAAGACAAATTGTTGATATTATTGTTTTTTACTTCATTCCATTCTTGTAATGCATTACAGTGGCGTCACTAGGCCTATTTTAGGGGGGCTGTATATATA